CTTATGGCTGTGTGCAGTCTTGCCTCTCTTGCTGCAAGTTACTCTGGTATGTTTTCTTGTTCTTTCTCCAGTCTGGAAAAGATCAAGTTCCATCTATTTTTTTAGACACTGTTTGTCCTTTATTAGAAATTCTTTGGCAATGGATTATACAGAATCAAGGGGATTGCTTTGTCACCACCAACCTCCCCTCCCCTGTCCCCAGGCGACACTAATGGCCATTAGCGTTAATTATTTAGAGTTCCTTGTTTTTCACACAGAAAGCAGCGGTCAATGTGCAGTGCCAGGTATATGGTTGTGTACCCCCCAACTCCAGTACTTTACTCCTCATCTTTCAAAGTGTCTGTTTTCTTTGATACAGGCTTTGGTTTTTATTCAGCACGGTGTAAGCAGCACTATTTAGAAAGCTTGTTGGTTTTATTTTTTTCCAGGCAGGAACATTTTCTCTGTCAATGTTAACCTAGTGACACAGTCTGAAATGTTTCTTTTTTTGTGTTTTTATTCATCTCCTGCTAATTTTCAGCTGTTGTGCATTCTGGGCTGCAGAGCACGTAATGGCGAAACCAAATACATAACCTTTTCACCTAGGCTCACCTATGGCTTTTTTTGCTGTTGGATATGGATGGTCCACAGGGTGTCCTGATTGGAAGTGTTAAGCAATCATGAGAACTAAAGATCTAGACACAGTTGTTCTTTCCTTTCATGTGCAAAAACACCCCAAAACTGAAAAATGTTGAGCAGTAGCCACAGACGTTGTAAGCAATAAATAAGATGATACGTCTGGCTTCTAGACTGGCTCTTAGCAATTTCAAGCACCTTTGTGCAAACTGGTACTGTATTGTTCCAATTGAAATCCCATTGAAATACATACTTTTTTTTTTTTTGTGGTAGAGGGAGAAGTGTTCATGCCAGCTGGCCTTCACATAACCGAGCTGTTCGGATGGGTTGACTGGATGACTCCTGTGATGCCTGGAGATAGCTCTTCCTTAAGATTCAACTTTTGATCATTTTGATCCACTGTCTCTAAAACACAGGGTTGTAGAACAGGGCTTGATGTGTCTGGTGTCCATCTAGGTAATTTTTGAGCATTTGTGGCCTTCTGAGCTCACACCAGAGTCAGGTCCAGGCTATGGTATGGATTTGTAGTCACACATTGCATTCTGTATATGCTCCACAAAACAGAATTTGCTATGTATCGTGGTCTTCCCATGCTACTTTGGTTACATAAAGGCAAAAGATTTGAGAAAATGTTCCTGTAAAAATTGAGGGCTACTGCATGTTAGAAACCGCAACACTTGGTTTCATGGTTTTGTCCCATGGGTTATTCCATGAATGCATCGTAGGTAGGGTTAGGGAACTTACAGCTTCCCAGCTCCAAAAGTTTCACCACACAAGACTGCAAAATTAACACATGCCAAATAACATGAAATAACCTGGGTTGTGGCCTTACTTCATGGACCGCATCACTCACAACATAATACAGTGTCACGCAACAGAAATACTGCTCCTGATGGGTAATGGCATTAGGAGTGCTGAAGTCATGGTACAAAACTTGCTTAATGATTTGCATTTTTTCCCCTATGTTACAAAACGTAGTTGAGCAGATGGATGCAGCCAGCTGTACACAGAGCTTTAGGGAGTACTGGGGAGAAAAGAGAGAGGTTTTTGTTAAGATAAATGTAATAATCTCTGTGATAATTAGTTTAATTTAGATCCTTGCATCTGACTCGTTTTTGACTAACCTTGTACGAAGCCTTTCTTGCCCTGCTGATGAGTCTGTGAATTTAGTTTGATTACAATCCCTTTTTTTGTGCTCACTGATCACTGATATTTTTCATTAAGCAGTTGCTTTATTACATTGTTATTTAGAGGGGAGTAATTTGTGCTTTCTAATTAATTTAATTCCAGGCACATTTAGTAAGTAGCTACAATGAGCCCATTCAAGGGGTTTTAGGTCATATTGACATTGTTTACCAGATGTGCTCGTTTGTTTTAAAACAGTTAACTCTGTGATGACAACAACCCCATTCAGTTGCATGACTCTTCCACCGTCCCTAATCCGCACCTCCAAAACCCCCCAAAATTAGAAGATGCATTTCAAGTACTAGTGAGAGATGTCCATAGGCATTAAATCACGGAGGAATTATATTGCAAACGGTGTCGATATAAACTATTCCCATTCCATTATTGGATTTGAGGACAGAGCAGCGGAGAAGCCTTTTGGCTTCTCTTAGCCAGGGATGTGAATGCCATTACTCTGACCCCTAAAAAATTGGACAATGCCAAAGAGTTGCAAACTGGGTGTTAAGCCCGTGCTTGGCCCATTCACCTCTGAAAAACTTGCAGTGAGGCTTCAGGAGAGAACAGGGCAGCTGGGAGGATGAGCATACCAAGCAAGGCATGGCATGAGCAGTGGCCTGAGCAGTGATGGGACATGGTTAAAGTAATCAAAAGGTGAACGTTGTAATTCATAGTTGTCACCATCCCAAACTCAGAGGCATGGGCAATTGTTTTTGCCAGAAGGTTTTTGATAAAGCTCAGCGTTTTCTTGCTAGTGATGCTCCCAGGATTTGGGGCTTATTCAAGCGCTTCATGTTCATCGCTGTTAAATACTGTATCCATTCCATCATCTGAGCATGAAAACTACATATTATACCTATCATTTGCTCATTTGGGCTGCTGCGTCAAGAACTGGATTTTTAAAATGAGACCCTAATTAGATGAATAAATAACATTTTTACAGGAAAATGTACAGGCAGGATATTCCCCTGACTTTAAGCTTGTCCCATGAAAAACTACCAACATTTGTTAATATGTTCTGCAGTCACTTACTTTGGTAAAAAGTCAATTACTGCTTGTTCTGCAGCAAAGTCTGGCACAGAGCAGTGACACTGTAAGATTCATCAGCCTCTGAAGGACCCAACAAACAATGGCCTTGATGTGTTTTCCATTATTTGTCACCTGTTTTCCATCTCTTTTGGATTGGAACAGCCAAAATTAATGACAAACTTTGAAGGAAAGGTTTGTTCAGTAGTTCGTACTTAGTAAATTTTAACATTTAATGCTTGTGATGCAAAAGCTGAATTCTGGTACAATTCGAACCAACAGGCCAGCTGCATCTCTGCTTCATTTTTTGCGGGGAAGGTTTAAATTGCTATAATGCCTTTTCTGGTTTATGTTGGTCTGTTAAGGGTGCGTGCGTGCATGGGGATCTGTTCTACCTATTGATTTAATAGGAAAGAGCATCTCTTGGAAAGGGAAAGTAAACGTGTGTGCATGCATGTGGAAGGGGAGAGAGAGAGAGAGGGAGAATCTCTATCTGTGTGTTTATCTCTGTGATAAATGATGCCTGTTAAAAATGTGACTTGCCATGAACGTTATTACTGCTTTCCTCTTTAAGTTTATTATACAAACACAGTCACCGTCAGCAGAAATGAAGCTGCGGTCTTGGTTGTTTAGTTCAAACGGTTTTGATGTTTCATTGTCCCTCGATCAATCAGCACCTGGAGGGGTATCAGCTATTGGCTGGGAATGCATCAGAGTGACGTGGAGAGCACAGATATTCCTCAAAAGCTGAAAATATTTCATTTCAAATGTTCATTACAGTTTGCATCCCTGTCTGTGAGCAGGCAGCGAAGTGAGCTCTGTTTATCATTTTTAATTATGGATCTTCCTTATTCAGAACTAACATCTCCCAAATTACCTTAAAATGAGCTTCTTCCTAGACAGATTGGTAATTCACTTGCATCACTTATTTTATTCTCTGTGTAAAAGTTAGTCGAGGGCATGGGTTTTAGCACAAACAAAATGCATAAAGTAGAAAACATAATGCGGCATAAATGCCACATAAATCCCATCCTAAAGACAAAAGCAGATTTCAAACATCTGAATTCCTGAGCACTTAATGTGGAGTGTAATCTTCTGTTTTGGTTTATGTTTGTTTTCTGGAGTGCCACACAGAGCAAAATATGGGGAGTTCCCTCTCCTCCAACAGTGGAGGAGAAGGAAAGTGATTTGCAAAATGCCCAGGAAAGAGCTTTTCCTGCGTTGTAGGTAAATCCCCCGGCCAAGTGTCTCCTTTGCTGCTGGGAGTTGAGCTATACGCAGAAGTAGTCAGTAGAAACCCCACTTGAGTTCTCTTGCTCGTCACAGAGCGAGTAAGAGGCGGCTCTAAAATGCAAAATTGTCCTTGAAAAAACCTCCTCTTGTGCCCTCCCAGTTGTTTCTTCCTTTGCATCGATTGCAACCTGTGTGAGCCCCCCTTCTCCAAGTTCCCTAGCATCCCCCCAAGGGGCAGGACATTTGCAGTGCTGTTTTCAAGCCTCAGCTCTCTGAAATTGTACCTAACAGATAAAATCTCTGGCTTCAAAGATTTATACTTGGGATGGACAGGAAGGAAAACGCGTTTTTTCTCAGTAACATTCATGTTTTTAGGGATAAAAGCTTATTCCTCCGCATGCTTTTGTTTTCCTTTGCGCAGCCCGTGCCTCCCAGCTCAAGCCGATGCACATTTTCCTTTCAAAATTTGATTTCTAAAGAAATACTTTTTAAAAAATCAACCTGTTTCCCCTGCGCCACCGCGATTGGTCCGATAAAATCGCCGAGCCGATCGCGTCAAAAGGAAATAGCTTCGGCTTAATTGTAAGCTAAGTCTCCCGTAATCCAGGGGAGCATTTGAGATTCTGCCCAAGCGCTGGGTTTCGGCGGCCGCTGAGGGCTGTGGGTTTCTCTCCCAGCCTCCCGGCTGCTGCAGCACAAGTCAGCATAGCTAATGCAGATAGAGCTCTCCCCCCGCTCCCTCTTCCCCGCTCCCGTCTCTCGCTCGCTCTCCCTCTCCCTGTGCTTTGATTCGATATGAACAGACTGGTAACTCCGATGCGAGAGCGAAAGCTGACATAACTCTGCAGATGGCTACGTTCGGATGATACACCTAGGGATTTTTCTTGAAGGGAAGGTAACGTTTAGATGCTAATGTTTATTTTTCCCTTGTTGCCATTTTTCAGGACTGCCGGTCCCAAAGAAGAGCCCAAAGTCGGTAAGCACTTTTCAGCTACTATTTTTGTATGTTTGTCTGCTTTGAAGGAGAAAGGCATGAGTTTGGTTTGTTTTCTCTGTGGGTCTTGATTGTTTTAAGTTGTCTTTCTGTTGCAAACATGATTACCTTGCACGGCTCCTGCTGCATGGGGAGATGAAAGAGGAATGCAGTACGGAAGGGGGACTTGTTTGCAAATAAAGCCTCAAGTTTACAGATCCTCTTCCCTGAAAGATGAGCTTCTCTGTCATTTAACTTACCAAAAAAAAAGCTATTGTTTCCATTTGGAAAGATGGGAGGCTCCACCTTCTTGGCAGATAGCAATTCCTGTCGGGTGCTCATAGGCACCAACCTTTTGCATTAACTCCCTGAGTTTTCTCGAGTACCCTCGGCTGAATTATTAACGGACTGGGAAAGCATGCACCTTGTCGAGAGAGACAAAGCATGAATGGAGCATGATTACAGTTCCCGGGGAATACAGTTAGCTGTCCGAGTGCTTGCTCTGGAGGCATTTTTCTACTGAGCAGGATTGTGCTGCAGGTGTGGGATTCCTTATTTTTTTTAAAAACCTAACAGAACAGTATTTTCTTGTCCCTTCTGATCCTCTTTCCATGTAAAGCTGTTACCTGGATGACATGTTAGCTAATAGCACGGAAGCCGTGATCTAAAGTATCGTTAAAGCTCTGTGCCTGATATTGTGGAAGAAAGTAATGTATTCTGTGTATGCAGCAACAAAAAAATGTTTCATTTTAAAGGAAATTGAATACTTAAAACCTGAAAGTTAACAGTTATCTGTTGAGAGGGAGAGGGGAAAAGAGATTTATCTCCCAGTAGCTTTGGGGAAGCAGAGCGAGTGAGGTCTTTGCCTTGTGCAAAACTTCACCGACAGTCCCCAACGGGTGCCAGCCACCTGGCTGCAAACCTGGGCAAGAGGTTTGTGAAGGGGCTGAGCAGAAGGCTCCTGCTTTTAATACGAGTTCTCCGTTCATCCAAAAAGAAAGCCCTGAAATAATTAATGTGATTCTGATGGCTTAGGGCAGCGCTGATTAAAGTCACGTGAGCCCAGGCCTCTACCATTGTCAGCTCGCATTAATGTTGAGAGGCAGAAGTGCGGGGTGTGCTCCCTCGCAGATCACAGGCATGTCAGACCCTGCGCGCTCACTTCTGTCATACGCTGAGATTAGTTCAGCCTTCGGTAAAACAGAAGCAAGTGTGTAAAATGCCTACGCGTCTAGCACGTTTCTTTTCTCTGCCTGCACTTTTTTCCCCAGTCGGAGCAGGAGTGGCTGCACTCAATCCGGACTCCGACTCCTGTCATTAAACCAGCCCCGATCAATGAGTCTCGGTCTGTTCAAAGCGTGGAGGCTCCCATGTGGAGGCTCCCGCTTTGCCACACGAACATTTGGCATCAGGTAAAGGGGGATCCTGCCGTGTCAGACACCTCTCTGGTCGGCAGCAATGCACCGTGAAAATCTGAGCAGCATCTAAATCCATATCGGGATAATCCTGCCTCGGTGAACAAAGAGACTGCTTGCAAACAGGTGTACCCCTGCAACAGCAGATTTCTCCCTACTATTTGCTTTGAGGAGCCGGTCAGCCATGGGAAAGTAGTCCCCCCCTATTCCCCCTGCCTGCACACCGGATCATTTGCATCAGCAATTAGCAGCGATGTTTTACACTGCCGCATTGTGCAGCTTTAATGACCGACCGCTCCTCGGAGGGGCAGAGCAGAGCGCGTCAGAGCCGGCACAGCCGCTCCTTCATTCCCAGGCATCGGTGATGTGCACGGGTTGAACATGGAAACCTAGAGCAAAGCGCCTTGGGGCACCCGTTTGCAGAGGAGGAAACTGTCCTCAGGGCTGTCTGGGATGGATTTACACCACCAGCAGAGCTCGTGTGGCCAAGGCAATGGTCAAAAGCATAAAAGCAGTGGTATTGCTTAACACCTTCCTTCCTCGGTTTAGTTGCAGGGCTGGTGCTCAGCTGCGGGGCGAGGGGAGCTCGGCCCTCTTGGCCATGAAGATTCCTTCTTGCTCTTGTCCTAGCAGGGGAGAGCCAGGCCTGCCCCCTTGCCCCCCCAGGCAAGCTCCCCGGCTGGGATGCTGTCCCACTGCGCCCTGCCCCGGCATTTCCCAGGGATGGTTTGCTGCGCTTGAAGCTGTTGGGTGAATGTGGGTGCTGCCGGCTGAGCTGTGCACCCGCGGGCTGTCCCCAGCGCCACAGGGCTGGCTGTGGGGCTTGGGTTGAACGTGCTGCCCATTTCCCCCGCTCCCTTTGCCCGATGCAGAGGAAATGTTTTCCTACATTCCTTGATTAATAAATTAGCTGCAGTTAGAGGACAGTGTCCATCCAGGACAGGAGCAGTTGGCCCAATCTTAATTTGTGCTCATTCTTTGTTTCTTCTGCTGCATCGGGGAAAACACGAGCTCAGGTCTCCATCCTCTTCTGCTTTGCTCAGCACAGTGACGAGCCCTCTCTTGTTACCTCGTATCCTTTCCCAGAGCCCGGACACACTCCCAACTGACTGCAAACGGCTGTCTCTTTCTCAAATAAGCCCTATTTTTAGCTATCAGCCCCAATCCCGTATTCCCAAAAGGCCGACTTCAAGCTGTTGGATACCTTCCGGCTGGGAGGAGGTGTTTTGGCCCCTTGGAGAGGTTTGTTAGTGCTGGGGCTGTGACACCATCTGGGAATATTTTTCTGCCTTGAGCTCAGTTTTCCTGGGCTCTATTTTTCAGCCTGTGTGTATCTTCTGATGAGCTTTGCTCTTTTTCTCAGGTTTTTAAGGAGAGTTTTTCAACCTTGATTGAAAAGCCAAATTAGTAAAAAAAAAAAAAGTTTGCAGCCATACATGGGACTGGGCATTTCCAAGTCCTTTCTTCCCTCTTTCTCTCCACCAACGATATGCTAACAGCAGCTCTCTGTGCTGCTGCTTTGTTTTCAGTTTCCCGTTGATTCTTCTTTAGATGAAAATGGATAATATTTTTGTATTGACCCTCTGGGGATATACATTTTCAGTGTGCAAGTTCTCCAGTATAGCAATTTCCCCTGCAATTATCCTGGTATAACATGGATGAAAACAAACTTTGTTTTTTCTTTTTTTTCCCTATGTTGCTTGCATCAAAATACTCCACAAGGGGGCAAAGATTCCCATTTCCAGCTCAGTTTGCTGTCGCTGCCAGGACCAGCTTCTCCAAAATGCTCTAGAGCACAAAATCTGCAGCTAGATCATCAGAAGACAGGATCACTGCAGGGGGAAGAAAGTGCTAAGCTCTTCCAAAAATCTTATTTTTCTTTTGGGTGTAAATAAATACATTGTCAGCATAGCTGAATTGTGGCCAAAAATGCAATTCCTATGCACAGCCTGTCCCTGACAAGAGACTTGCCACATATATCGGGTGGATAGGCAGCACTTGGGGCTCTGCTGATGTCCTGTTTTTGTCAGGAGGAGAAGTAGGTTCCATAGCATGAGTGTTCGTACAACACATCCCTCGTCATTCAGAGTACATTTTGTCCCCCCACCTTGAAATGCAGCGGAAGGAAACCACAGCAACTCTTCTCTCTTGCAGTTTAATGCCTGGAAAATCCTGTGCCAAAAAGCTTTGGTGTCCGTTCATGCCGCAGGACATGTTCCCTGCCACCATCGCCTCTTCTGCTGCGGGTTTCTCTCTGCCTGACACAGACATACACAACTGCTGCTAATAATTAGTGTCCCATCTCTGCCTGCAGCCACCTCTCAGCCGTGTCATAGGCCTTGGTTGTTTTAGCAGTCGCTGTACAAAGTAACATTTAATTACTCTTTCATTTAGCCTGAATGACAAACTGGTCTCTGCTATGTGGGTATCTGTAGCATTTTGCAGGCACTTGGAGACTTTTGTAAGCAGTTTTCCTTCTGTCTCCTTTTGAAGCACAACAGCTTTAAGCTCCCTGGCTCACATCGCCTTTGCTGTTTGCTTCCCTCTCCATAATCAAAGGACGATGTAGTGCTCAGTGTGGGCTCACTCAACCTCTCTGCTGAGAGAGAAGCTGCCTTTCAGGTCGGCAAATGGAGTGCCTGTGGCTGAAAACGGGATTTCACAGTGGAGGGAAGAGATCCTGGAAGGCTGAAGTATGCCCAAACCCTGACCGCTGCTGACCCCTCTTCTGCAGCAATTGCCCCCGCAGCTGCACCCGGAAATCTGAGCCATGCTGACGTTCCTGTTAACCTCAACCAGTGGGGAAAGGGCAGCTAGAAAAGACTTTCATCCCAATAGTACGTTTTCTTCATCTTATGGTTTGCAGGATGAGCACTGCGAAGTTTCAGCAAGGGCGTAGAGAAGCTGGCACAGGCCATGCATCTCAGACCTGGCACTTGAGCAGAGAACAAGAAGCTCCAGCTTTCCACGTATTTATTTTGTCATGGCTGTAATATAGTCCCAAGGTGATTGTTTTTTCCCATCACCTGTATTTAAGTGTGCAATCTGCCTAAATGGACCCAAGGTAGTCATCGTAGTCTTGATTTTTAGCCACTTTTTGGTCAAGAGTCTTTCTGGCAAGCTATTTATGCTTATCCACAGCTCTGGAGAAGACCATAGACTCTGGAAGGTCAGGGGTGCTCTTGGGTAGTTCAGTGCCCCATGCTCTTGTAGCTACTGTCAGAAGTCAACACGATTCAGCTGATTTGCTTTACTTTGCGCTGAAAAACACGATCAGCATCTCAGGGTGAGGTCTGAACCGCCCGCTCTGCAGCAGTCTGTCACCAAACAGCCCTGTGCTCACCTGGCCCTCATTTAGCTGCTTTCCTGCCTGTGTGTGAGCTGGGTGAGCTGGGCAGCCAGATCCGGACCCACGAGGATCGGCCCCAAAGCTAGGAATGAGGCAGGAGATAGAGAAGCCATCCTGTCATTGGCATATCGTCAGCTCAGATCTCTTGGGACCATCTCCTGGGTGCATCTCGTGTGCACCAAGGCACAAACTTCTTCATCTGGGCAGTCCCCGTTGCAGGAGCACCATGGAGAGCAGGGCAGTCAGACCCCTGCAAGTCCTGCTGATGATGATGTGCTGAAGCTGCTACAGCACGTGTAAAAGTTTGGCCCCAAACCTTTCTGGTGATGTGAAAGTCAATTAATGGTCTTGAATTAATTTAATTACATATAGTCATGTTTTCCATGATTGTGTTCCCCTTTCTCTGCCCCCCTCTTCAACTCCTAAGTAGAGATGTTTCAGGCTTTTTAAAGGAGTATTGTTTGGAAAAACAACTGTCCCTCTGAAGAAGTTTTCCCCTATTTCTTGCAAAATGCCTGTGTATTTGCAATTTCAACTCTAATTTAATTAGAGGTGGTTTTGCTTGAGATATGCTGACACTTTTATTTGCAACCCAAATATGAAATATAATTCATAGTTTGTTCAATGTTTAGATCTTTCATATCATAAAGTGAGAACACTTTTTAAAGTTGAAACCTTGTTTCTTTTTAAATCAGAAAGTTTTCAGAGAGTTCTCAACATTTCCCCAAGGGCTGAATAAAGCTTCACATTTTAGTCCCTGTACTCCAACTTCTGTAAACCAGCTATTTCCAGTGAGATTGTCCTGAAGTTTCACAGGATGCTTGTAGTTATTTTAGTAGTTTGGCCAAACAAACAAAACAATCCAGATGGCTGGACTGAGAGTTGTAAAGTGTTTTTTCTTTTTTTTTTTTATTTTTAAGTTACAAAGGAGTGGTTATCCACAGCATAGATGTTTTAAAACGGCTTCATTTAAAGACTGAAGGGCAGCATGTGAATTAGCTTCTTTTACCACTTAAAAAGCTAAAAATGTTTGAAATTGGTTCAGATATTTGTATTTGAAAGTCTGCAGATGAATAATCACAGCACGTATGCTTTGTTCAAAATTGCTTTAAAGGACAAAAGCAATTTCACATTGTAGTCGATCAAGGTATTTAAAAAATGCTGGTAGTGGATCAACAACTTGAATGTAAGGATGAGAGGTCAAAGTCATTTGGGCTGTTGGAGCTTTTTTTTTTCCTCAGTGTAAATCTAAAAATACGTGCAACTTAAAAAAAAAAAAAAAAAGAGATTATTATTAAGACTCAAAAAGAGGGCACTTCCGTATGGTGACTTTCTCCTCTGTAATTCGTTCAGCCGTGCTATAATGGAACACTGGCCGCCTGGAGTTTCGCGTTCAGAGTAAAGGAGGGGGTCCCCAGACCTGTGTGCACTTCAGCCCCCCGTGCTGATCTGCTCTGGGTTTGCCGCTGGCTTTTCTCCCAACCCTTGCTTGGTTCTCTGTGGAGAAGTCCCTGAAAGCAGAGACTCCTGTTGCCATGTATTCGAGTACCCAATGCCAGCAGAGGCTTTAAATTTTTGTCTGAGGTTTCTTGGTATGAGGGGCTGACCCCTTTTGGCCAGGAAATTGTGGACGTTGTAAAAACAACCTGTAGGATGCTATTTTTACGGCCGCCCTCTGCGTCACAGCAGCCCCAGGAACGTGCCAGTTCCCTGTTCTGGAGCAGGTAAGAGATTGGACTCGACCTTGATGCCAACCCAAGGTCATCTCAAAAGAGCATTAAAAAGCATTTGCTGCACATTTTGGGGAGCTCTTGTTGAGGGAGGATTTTTCTGCATATTGAGTAGTACAAATTCAGGCAATGCAAATGTGTCTTGTGCTTCATTTGAGCACACCGTTGTGAATTTGAGTTAAGAATTATGTACCCTGCTTAGCTAAATATTGAGCAGACAGAGCTCTTGACATACTGCTTTTGAATAAGCCTTGAATTTAGGTGGACGTATTTTTTCCTGTTTTAATATGCTGAATTAAAACAAGGAAATCAAACAGCAAATAGACGTTTTCACATTTTGTGAAGGTCTGCTGTAATCCTGTGGATGCTCTGGGAAGCAGAGACATGAAAGTGGTACTCTGTTGTCCACCCACTTGTGATGTGGGGGTTGCAAGAGCTGCAGAGGAAAAGTGATCTTTCGTAGTAAGGGCTGTGCTTGCATCTGTTTCAGAGGGAGTGTTTAAGTTTTCACAGTGAAATTTGGTAGTTTTTCCTTTTTCTTGCAGGCTCAAGTTAGACCGTAATGTTATGTGAGTAGAAGGTTTTTGAGTTTTTCTGCCTTAATGTAGGAAAAAATAAGTGCACTGAAACTAGTAACCTATAATGAGATTTAGATTTGTTTTATGTGTGAGATGGAGAACTGCATTTTTTTTATATGATAAATGACTTTGTTTTGCATATCTCTTTCTGTCAGTCTACCTATCAAAATCTGTCATCGGGGAATTTAACTGTACCCAGCATTAACTGGTGGCAGCAAAACCGTGATTTATGTATTTACTTATATGCATGCAGAAACCCTGATCAAAGAAGGGAGAAAAATTGATGGAAAACACCCACTCAAAGACCAATAACCGTCTGTTCTCTCTCTTTCCACTCGCTTTCTTCCTTACAGCAACCACTTGAAAGGAAAGACAGCCAAAACAGTTCTCAGCATAGCGTCTCCAGCCACCGCAGCGGGCACACCGCTTCCCCCATTCACAGCACGCAGGTGCTGCCGGACTACACCGCCGCGGAGGCGCCGGCTGCGGATCAACCGGACAGTTCTGGGCAGAAAAAGCCAGATCCATTCAAAATCTGGGCCCAGTCCAGGAGCATGTATGAAAGCCGACGTGAGTATGAAGCAGGTGTGGTTGCTAAGGCTACGGCTCTGGCAGCTGCTCTCTGTATATTTTCTTTGCGAAGAACTGAGTCTTTTAGATTTATGTTGAAAATATAAGGCTTCAGTTTGTTAATTTGGTATCTGTCAGTGATATCTACTTGATAGAGGTGCAGTTTCCTCTCTGATGAGGAAGGAATTTAGATCATCTCTAGGAAAGGGCACTTAGACCAAAGCTTAATACGAAAAATCCCTTTAAAATTAAAGACCATCTTTTCCCCTGGTTTTTTTATTTTGCTTTTAAATCAGGCTGAAGGAGAATTTCAAAGTTTGTTATCCAGATCCTAAACTCTTTTTTGAGGTTAAGACTCATTGTCTGATAAGCATAGGAATTTCAGTAAGGAAGGGAAGTATTTAGTTTGCTGAAATTCATATCAGATGTTTTCCAGTCTCACCCTGGGGAGGAGAAAATCCAGCTGAGCCATTTTACTTTGACCAGAGTGGACACTTTAACAATACAGATATCAAATGCATATTGTAAGTGGCTTTTATGGCAATTAATAATCTGCACACTTGGCTAATAGTTCAGCAGTGCCTTGACTTTGCTCCAAGACTATAAATATGGTTTCAATCCGTTTCTTCTCTGCAAACAAAATAAGCATGCTGGCTTTGCTTTAATTGCACTGCTGAAGATGATCAAATCTGTAAAAGCTTCTTAAAGAAGGAGTTAGAGTATTAGGTTCATTTTCAAAAGCAATGGTTACTTTAGTTACAGAAAAGGGAGCTTCAAAGTCTTGGTGCTGTAAGAGTATCACCTGGAGTTTGATTTTATTGTGCTAACTGGAAATTGCTAAAACCAGTATGAAATGAACATTACCCCAGAATGAAAAATGGTAGGACTGTTTTTTCCTGATCAAATGAATCACTTTGAAATCTTATGTCCTGGAAAAATTAAATCATGAGTCACAGTTTCTTGGCTGAAGATGCATCTCTTCGGATTGAATGTCTCAGCAATGCAGTTGTAGGTGTCTCAGCTTCTGTGCGCTGCTTCCTTCCCTTCCCAGGGGTTAGGTGTACTGACCCTGTGGGCTCTTGGGCCGGGTGATGCTGCTCTACAGAGAAGTGCAGCGATGAAACTTGGACGTGCATCTTGTTGAAATAGGAAAAAGGGGCAAGAGCTGAGGGACGGTGATGCTTCAGCCCTGCAGAGCTGTGGGCAGAGCTCCTCCCTCTCCTGCCTGGATGGACAAGGCTGAGGCTGTCCCATGGCACCGGCATCACCCTTGCTCAGCTCACGTGGTTCCCGTAGGCACTGTGCTGGCATTGCTTCTGACCCCCTGCAGCTACTTTGCTAATTTCTAATTAACTGTTTAACTCATACTAATTAGTCATTAGTATCAGCTTAGCAGCCCTAACTCCTGCCTGTCTTTCCTGATAAAACCCAAGGCTGGGCCAGAGAAATCCTGAAGTGCACAGGCAGGCAGTCGCCCTTCTGTGTCCACCTCCACATCCTCCCTTTTTCCTCAATGGCTGCAGGTATCTTGTAGAGGTTTTATCCTTGTCCGTGATTAGAGCCCTTCCAGAGGGATTTTCGCGGTCTCTTGACCTGCTGGTTTCCCACACCCCATCTTTCCCTGTGCCACAATCCTCTCTGCTTGGGCCTTTTGCTAGACTGGGATCTGCTACGCACCTTCAGCTTCCCTGTCTCACCACTCCGTGGTCCAGCGTCTCTGTAGTGGGGTTGATTCTCTTCTGTTGCTTCAATCCTTATTGCCTGTCTTTTCTAGCAGATGAGACCTACCTGTTTGAACATCAGTGCTTTTCTACCACCTTTTCATCTCGTTGCCATTTCCTTCCCAGGAAGGTGTTTTCTGAGATTTCTTGGTTTCATAGATAGAGAATAGCAGAAGTGTGATATGGTCATGTCTCCTTGTAAGCATGTGCCACTAGAAGTGTCCAAGAGCCTATGAATTTCCAAACCTAACCTGGAGTGAAATACAGTCCCTGGGGATTAACCTGCATTCTTACCTAGTGACATGGCTTTGCTGCACCTAATGAAAGGTGAAGAAAAACAGGAGAGGTACAGTCTAAGAGAAAAAGGCAGTTGGACATGCTCTGTCTTCTGTCACGGTCTGATCCCAAAGTGTGACTTGTGGTTTTATTTAGAGGTCAGTGGTCAGGTCTTGCTCCTTCCCTTGCCAAGCCGTCACCTTTCATCCCTCTCCCCGGTCTCATAAATGGAGACTGTGGTTCACAGCTGAAACCTGGCGCCTCTTCTTTCCCTGTGTTTGGTCTCATGAGAAATGGGCAATTGGTGGCTGCTCTGTTATGAACATGAATCATCCCTTTGAGACTCACTTCCCAATGTTGCCCAAGCACCGGCTGTTGTGGCGCTTGGACCCTTCGTAGGGAGCTCTGCTGCCATGGAGCACCGCAGACTGCAGGATGGGAGAAACAGTTCCCTGGGCCTCCAGTTTCACTGTCTGTCTGTTCCACGTGTGCTGTTCTTCGTGTTTTTACCCAGCTGCGGTTCAGTTTAACTCCAATGCCTCCTTTGGCTGGCAGTGATACCGTCATATCGTTGCTTTCTTCTTTGCTTGAGCACCCATTCCCTTTGGCTTTGGGACTGAGGTTAGCATCTCCTCTCCCATGACATCCGTAGCCTTGGGTGCTAGGTGTGACTCCCTCTGCATCCTTCTGATGAAGACGTGAGCGGAGCTGAATGCATATCTGATGTACAGCAGGAGGATGCCACCCTAGTGCCAGTGCTGAGATTGGCTGATGCATCCTGTAACTGGGGCTTTTGGTGGGTCCTAGAAGCACCCGCTGCCCGAGGAGCCCCAGCTCAGCTCCCCCAGGCTCTTCCTGCTGCCCAGTCCGGGGCTTGCTCTCTGTTGATTCATGGCCTTAAATTTTAATAAACCTGAAAAGGATTATAAAATGTACTTTTGAGAGGCAGGGTTTTGAATCCCCGACAAGTGGACTGAAAAACAGCAACAACCCTTTGTGTTGAAGTATATGATGAAGTTAAAAAAGACAGAATTTTAGAGCATCAGATCAGTTGACACCAAAAGATGAATTCATTAGCCGCAGCCCAGACAGATCTTTTTTTCATCTAAAAATAATAATATAAAGAGGTTTCATTCAATGTATGAATACATCGTCTCCAGGATGTTTCTAAGAAGTGCTGAATCTATAATGACCACCTACTGCCTTTTCACTGGGAGTGCATCCCACTGTTATTAACATCAATAATAATAATGTAGACATGGAAAGCACATAGGCAACATTTTAAATTTTCAGAATTGATAAAATGTGTCCTTCCTTTCTTTGAGTATTCTTTGGATCAGTATTTCATAAAAAAAAGAGTATATTTTTTATGTGACTTGTCTCACTGAAGCCATTGGTAGAGCAGAATTTGGTTCAAAAGCACCAGATAACCCATAATTTTGTAAAAGCATGTATTTTTTATTTACCCGATGTATCTTAATGTCAGGAAGTACTCAGATTCTGCGGAGGAGAGCCACAGATGTTGCCTGTTTAGGGGAGGGAAGAAAAAAAAAAAAAAAAAGACAACAAATTAAGCTAGAATTAATAATGCAAAGCTAAGCAATGGCTCCATAACTGTGTCTGGACTCTGGTTGAGTGGCAGCAGATGAGAACTGCAACTTTATTCAACAAATAAGGGCTAAAGTTCCTTCACATGCAGCTCCCCTGGGTGGAGGGATCAGGCCTGCAAGGTACCGAGTGCTTGGGCTCCAGTCCAAGGAAGCTTATTTTCAAGCTGTAAACCTAAAGGGACTTGGATGCTTTAAGGCTAAGGCTGAGCTCAAATACTGTGCTGCAGTCTGGCCCAGAGTCGCAATTCTTTGCTGGATTAAGACTTTTGAGAATAGCTGGCTTTGTGTTGAGTGAATCTGAAAACAGATCATTTGGTGGCGATAACAAATGCACTCTTTGCTGGTGCTAAGTTTTAGCTGTCTGAGCTCCTCTTTATGGGTAACTCATTGCTGCTAGTGGGAGTTGTGTACATGAATCAGAGAGAAGGACAAACCCTTAAGGTTTAAACACTGAAGCAGTTCCAAGATCCAGGAGTGACATACGTGAAGAGCACTCAGTGAGAGAGACAGCAATTGAATAGTTTATCAGAGAACCGCAATTCTGAAATCTCGCACTATTTTATCGAAAAATATATTTTTATAATATGCTTTTTATTTTTCAATGTATTATTAAACTTCCTTAAAGATTAACACAATCTGTTGTCAAATTTTTCTCATGTGGCCTGATTGCTTTGCAAAATACCATATCCTACATATGGCCATCTGTCAAAACAGCAGTGACAAAATGAATTAATCTGAATTGCAGATGTGTTAATGAATCCCTTTGAAGGGCTTAAGCATTTAATTAAAAGTAAAGCAGAACACGATAGATAATTTTTAAAGCTTTTAAAATATTCTAAGTCATCGTTAATATTTGAATTTTATTTTCAGGCACATGATTTATTTGGTAGGATTTTCTCTCCCCAAATCTAATCAAAGTAATACAAACAAGTCTTGACCCCAGTGTGTAGCGTTCACTCACCAGCAATTACATAGAATTAAAAATATTTGCACAGTGATACCAAACATTAGATACTTCTCCCTAAAATAGAAACGAAAAATACTCTCAGGAAATTGCAGCCGCCTTCTGATCAGACTGACTTTAAAGATGATGGTTAGTAAAAGCCTCTTGGTAGGGTTTATGTCCTATTAATAGGAGACAAACAGTCACAGTGGTACACTTGGGCACACAGATGTGTCCATGCCCTTAGAGAACATCTTGCTAAAAAAGACCGTCGTACTTGCAGGAGGTTGCGTGAGCAGCAGAGGCTGCTGAGCTGTTACGGAGCTGGGGGGTGGGCAGACTTTGCTGGGGTTCCTCTGGCACCAGCCCGGTCCGTGGCTCAGTCGAGGCATCGCGCCTTCCCCAAACCTCCGTGGCAGAACTTGGTCATCTTGTCGAGAACATGCTGAAGCCATCTTTCGAAAGCTTTCCGTGCCACTAGAAGGGTTGATTAAAAGGAAAAGACAGAAAAACTGGAATTCCTCTGCAGTGGGATAGTTTAGAAAACAGGGCTTTCCTGCAAATACGGAATCTCATTAGATTTATGGCTAAATCACAGGACTTTTCAGCACTGAAACTCTCCATCAGCTTCAGTGAGACTATTCACTCTTAATTTCAGACTTGTCCTTATATACTTTGCTGAATCTGGGCCTTAAAACTTTTGTGCTTTGCCAAGCTATGAGTCATTGAAAGTGCTGCTGCCTCAAATGAGCTAGTGACTAAAGGAAGCTCATACTGATTATTTTTGAATCCATCTTTTGTTGAAACTGATATCACACTGGGCAGATTTTTTTTTTTATAACATGTAAGATAATTGTTAAAGTTTGTATCAGAAAGTTTGATTAAAATGACCTCTAATTAAGCACTGTGTTCATTGTTCATCACCACATATTTAGAATTTCTTTTAACATTAGAAAAAGGTATTTCCATTTGGAAAACTAACTGTGTCATGATGATGGAAATTTTTTTGTAGAAAAGTATTTTTAAGGTGTTCTTGAAGAGATTCTTCCTCTGAGGAGAAAAAAGAGGTCTTCAAATATACCTGCATGCATGTGCATAAATGTATAAATTCTCATATGTGTGTGTGTGTAGTACATATCCACATGTACACAGGCATGTGCAAATAGATGTGAAAGTTGGTATGTCATAATCCATAGTAGCTATAACCTTAGCAATTTATGCATGAAAGCCTAACATGATCCATACAGTCAAAATTAATTAAATGAACTAACAAGAAAGCAGATACATTAAGCTTTGCAAAATTGTAAAATTAATATTACAGCTATGTCACCTTCGCCTGCAACTGGACTGAGCAAGGGTGAGAGAGAGAGAGAAATCAATTCCACGAGTTTTGGAGAATGTAAGACTGTGCCGAGAATATATCTGTGTCTTGTGATGTCTTGTTCTGGTGTCATTGCTGCTCTGTGGCGGGGGGCTCTTCATCACCAAGGGAGTCTGGCAGGGCCGTATGCCAAGGTTAACCCTGAAGGTGCAGAGTACTTGGTTTACTGTGTACTGGATAGCGGCAGATTTTGTAGGCAGCAGTAGGGGGTATCATGTTCCCATTTCGACCATGAGTTTGCCCACATGGCTCGTCGATGGGGCAGTGGCATTTACCTCTCCTTCCATTCCTCCTCACGGCCCCAGCGGAACTCTTCTTACCACTTTTGCAACGCTCTCCAAATGGTCCGGTTTAATTCAGGACGAGCAGACTGGCAAGTTTTACCCATTTGGGCTATGTATACATTTTTTCAGAAAGAGTCAGACATGCTTGAGAGCAGGTCAAGGTGCAAAGATGCAGTGAATGACTCCTGGAGGCCATTTTTCATTCGTTTTCAACAAAGTTTCAGCACCACCATGAAATTTTCCCTTTAAGTAAGGAAAGTGGCTCCTCTGAAGCGCTACCGAATAATGGAGAACCTAAAGTAATTCTCCCGTATGGAGAGCCTCAGGGGGTCCCATCTCAGCTGTATGGAAGCACAGAGGTGGATGGGATTTTCTGGGCTGTGCCAGTGAATCACCGTACTGCAGAGTTGGTGCAAAAAGCGGTAAAAGGAGTTTTGTTCGGTTTGTACTCACGCTGTGTAAATGTGTGTTGTCTGTATGTTTGTTGTATCTGTGTTTCACCTCTCTGTAGCCCTTCCAGCGGAAGGAGCGTTACATGAATGAACTTGCTTCTTTGGGTATAGACTTGTCTTTTTTTGTTGCTTTGGTTTGACACCGCCGTTACGCCTCGGCTTGCTCTTATCTCCAGCGGCCATTAATTGGCTAGCTGTACCCCAACCAGGAACATAAGGCATCGTTCAGTGAGACTGGAGAGTTGACAAATGGGAAGGTGTTGAGAGATGCCGAGGAAACGGGCCCACGCTGAAGCTCTCTGCAGAAGCCATTTTGCCTCTGACAGATCCAACACACACTACTAATTGGTTGGGGCCAGCCTTTGCCAAAAAAGCCTGCGAAGTGCTGGAGAGGCGCTTCCGAATGTGTCTGCTCTTCACGCTCCCCCTCGCTGAAGGCAGTGACAAACACCAATTAATTCATTGTCTGAGTTCTGCTGTTGTGCCGCACGTCTGTATGGTGGCGAGCTGCCTTCAGCCAGCTCGCCTGAACAGATGAACCACGCAGGCTTCCAGCGTGTTCATCGCCTGATTATTCTGTAATCGTATCTGGACAAAAATTAACCTCTAGTTCAGTAAGGTAATATGCACAGGTCTTAAGCTTAGTTTATGACTGCAAGTAATCAAAATGTGAAAATATGATATATAAAACCAATGGCTATAAACCAGTTTGAATGAAAATATCAGAGCAGACATCTGTGCCTTAGCACTCACCTGTTCTTTTATTTTTTTAGTATTCCTAGGTCTTAAATTCATATTATATTTTAAACCTGTTGAGTCATTGAAGAGAGACCATCAGAGCTAGCCAAAAGTCTCAGCACTGAAAAGCACCAGATGACTAGACCCAAACCTTTGCGCAAACAGGCACCGACAGTGTAAAATGCAATTAGGGCCTAGTCTGACACTCACTGGTGTCAATGGAAAACAACGAGTTTATCTGCTCACAGATACAGAAAGCTAGATTAACGTGTTGCATCCCGTATCTGAGTATGCACATTACATTCCTGAACGATATACTTTGGTTTCTTTACTAAAGGTCTAGGCGGCTGACTCTAGGCGGCTTTTTTTATCATTAATTGCAAATTTTGGGAGGGGATCATTACAAAATTAGTCTATGTTACAGATAGTAACCAATAAATATTAGATGAACCTGAAGTTGTCTTCTGATATGATTTAATGTTAGCAATTAATTTTGCATTTTTAAAAAAGGGATGAAAGCAAGCACAAATAAGTTAATATAAAACATTACTGTTCAACCACACTTCAAGGTTAGTACTTCACTGTATGTAATATTCATTGTAAAAACCTTGCTGGTGTTCCATACTAATGAGTAGGTAAGGTTGAGCTTTTTTATGTTTCCAGCTGGTTTTGTCTGTTCAGTGGTTTTACAGAGCCCGTACTCAAGCAAGTGCGAGTCAGGAGAGCTGCTTTGCTTTCAGTAGAGCCCTTCTGTTTTACACCAACTGGGGATCTGTCCCATAGTTATTTAAAGCAGTGTCAGTAGACAGATAGCAAACTATGCTTCTGAAAGTTAATTAAACAGTAGAAGTCATAACAAGTGGCTCTTTTGTCTCCCGTGAAAGAGGAGGCAGCTGTATTGTTTCTGGCAGAGTGATTCTCTATTGTACACATTTATTTATTGATGATTTGGAAGAGGCTCTTGCACTGGGTAATGATGCTGGTATTGATGGAAGGAAATACTATAGTGATAAACAAATGGCAAGTCACAATTAGACACCTAGAAAGTAGAAACCACCGTCTAATTTTTAGTAGTGATTGAAATAATACTCCTTTAGTATTTAAACTTATAAATGTTCTTAATTATGTCTAAAAATTCAAGACTGCCTCATTTAAAGAGTAAAACTGTGCAGCAGATCCCCCTACGCGTACATCAGAGTAGTCCTGATTTGGGTATAAAGGTGTGGGTTTTTGATTAAAAATTAGTTTTCCTTCTTTCCCTGCAGTTCCAGATTACCAAGAGCAGGATATCTTTCTATGGAGAAAGGAAACCGGTTTTGGATTTAGGATTCTAGGTGGAAATGAGCCTGGAGAACCTGTGAGTACATCTAGAAGTGGTCTTGTTTTAACTCATGACATCTTCCAGAATCACGGTAGTAGCATGTACAGATGTGCAGAACTGCGCCACGGCATCTCTATTAAAGTAACTAGTGGGCTATGTATTTACACCCCGCAACTCCTCCCCACCCTCCCTCAAAAAAACCAAACAAAAACTCCGATAATTGAAATGGGTTTGGCTTCCCCTGGTATTCCCTGTTTTTGTGTTAGCCCAAATGAAAACGTATAGGTCTGAAATTGCCTGGA